AAAGTCCATAAGGGGTTTCCAGTCACTGATAAATGTAGCTGTTGATCTTTCTCTAATCAAATAAGTTAATTTTGCCTGCTAGTTCTGTCATCTTCACCAACCATTCCTCCACTATGGGTATTTCAGAATCTTTCCAATTTTGCGCATATAACAGTCTCACAGCAGTAATCATATATAAAAATAATCTTCCGTGGCTCTTTTCTAATTGACTGTCCATTAATCCCAGCAAGAAAAGTTCTGGTTTCAGTTGAACATTGATCTTTAAAATTCTTTGTAGCAGTATATGTATTTGAACCCAGAAATTTATTGACTGTCCATTAATCCCAGCAAGAAAAGTTCTGGTTTCAGTTGAACATTGATCTTTAAAATTCTTTGTAGCAGTATATGTATTTGAACCCAGAAATTTCTGGCTTTTTTAACAAGTCCACCAGGCAAGATAAAATGAACCTTCATGATGTCCACATTTCCAACATAAATTTGAAGTACCTTTATACATTCTAGACAATTTTTCTGGAGTCATATACCAATGGTACATCATCTTATAAAAATTCTCTTTTAGATTATAACATAATGTCAATTTCAATCCTTTTAACTGCATATTTTCCCACTGTTCTATCAGTGTCGCTTTCTATATCTCACAAGGTTTTGTTAAGTCCCCATTCACAATTATCTGTGCCTTTTGTGAAGTATAAATTGATTTTACCCATTTGATAAAATTCTCACCAAAGTCCATATCCTCCAAAATTTTAAACAAGAAAGCCCAGTTCAAATTGTGAAAAAATAATTGTTTTTTTAAATTTATGAATTTATCTAAACTGAACATGAAGCTGTCAAATGACTCTGGCAGCTTACCACTAAAAACCCCAACATATAAAAGAATACAACTGACCCGAACCAAAATACCAGAACAAAACCAAAACAAAGCAGACCAAAGCAACACAAAATGGGGTGGTGGGGTGGTGACTGGTCCATAGTCACCATGTCCCCAAGGCCTGGGGGAACAACCTGGTCTTCAATAATTTCCTGAAGATTGTAAGGACGGGAGCTATACAAAACTCTGGGGAAGGAGACCATTCCAGAGGGCAGGGATTGCAACAAAGAGAAGAAACCTATCCCCTGAACATACCCTTCAAAGGTAATGAAAATAATCCCCCTTGGCCTTGACTGGGCCACCCAAGAGAGAGGGCCATATCATGGCATTATAGTGAGGGGATGAGAATACTTCTGGGTTTTTGCAATGTTAAGTCAGCTCTTTAACTAAGA